CTCTCGTATGGAAGAGTCTAGAACAAATGAGAAATGTATGTTTACGTGCATATTGTACAACGTAAATGATAGAATAAAAATGAATGGTGTTCTTTTAACAAAGAAAACCTGGAAAATTGAAGTTTGGAGAAGTCCAGAACAAAGGAAAAGTGTCTTTGTTTTCAGGTTCCTGCATAAGCACAGGTGTAGAATCTTCTGGATTAGTACACGTGGCATAATCCAATGTGGTGGAGAGAATATCCAACAGCCAAGACTACCCGGATTTGCCACCTCTCAACCGTTGGATCGGCTTCATCCAACAGCCGATAATCATTGTTATTCGTATACTATATAGTGGTATAGAAACAATGTATACGCATGATGTTCTGAAAACACATTTTGATTAATCTGTTTCTGTTATTTTCATGTGGCTAATCTAATAAAGATATAGCCGAAGTTGAAGTTGATTGCACGCTTTGCACCGGGCATCGATTTGTGACTGAAAGTAAATGGGACAAGATATAGACTTGATTTTACATATGGATTGTAAAATTTAGTTGTAAGAGTTAAGTTGCCATGTGCAGTTACAAGTCAATTTGTTCAAAACTATCAATACTAGGTAGCTGATCTGAAATATTTGAACTGATGTGTTAGATGATGGATGAACCCTTTTCCTTTAGAGAGAATTCCTTATTTGACCCTTTCTTAAATTTTGCTTCCCTATTTGGCCCTAAACAAAAATTCTTCCCTTTTTGACACTATATTTACAATTTGTTCCCTATATGACATTTCCGTCAAATCTGTTACCATTACGTCCATTTGACCTGTCAGTATTTTCTTCCATGGACCAAAGTGCTCCTAGCTGTTAAACACCAGAAAAAAAAAGGAAGAGATGGATCGATCGAACCATTCTCTCCTCTCCCCGATCCCTGACTGAATCCTCTTCCCTGCGATAGAACTCACTCTCTCCCCCGAGCACATAGCAGCGGCGGTGCGAGGCTAAGGGGTATGGGCGACCCAGGTGGGGCTGTGGCTGTGCGTGGCGACCAGGGTAGGGCGGTGGATGGCGGCTAAGGCACCGAGGCGGAAGGGGACAAGGCGGCTGCGGATATCGCGAGCCAAGGCGCGGCGGAGGTGGTAGTTGGCAAATGCCTTGGTGCGGCTCACCCGTAGGTGAACATGACTACAAAGGGGCCGGTACGCGGCATTGAGGCGGGCTCGGCCTCGGTGCGGCTGTGCAGGCCACAGTGGTGCAATGAGGTGCGAACAGCTTCTCCTGTCTTCTAGGATCACCCTCTCTTGTTGCAGCCGGACGTCCATGCAAAGCTCCACTTCGAGGTTCTTCCGTCGTTCTTGATGTGGCGAGCATTGAACTGGCCAAGGTTTTATCGAACTAGCCAAGGTTTCCTTGGATTCGCCTTGTTTGATGCAAGATTGTGTACAAATTGGCTCTGATTTGGTCGAATCAACACGCCCATCGTGCAATTTAGCTTGAGATTTCATCGGCAGTACGAAGAACTCGTTGATGTTTCAGGAAAAGAACAGAAACAACCTTTCTTGCGATCCTTTCGTTGATCACCGCCTAGACTAACTCAAATTCCATCTCACCAAATCACCGGCACATGGCGTCGCTGTCGGCAGGCATGCTCCTGAAGCTGCTGGACAAGATGAAGACGGGTGCGGCGAAGCCAGTGGGCAAGCACTGAACGGCGGTGCTGCAGGTGATGGACATCGTCCCGGTGGACCTGTTCCCGCGGCACGGCCAAGCAAGGGATGAACACCCTTTGATCTAACGACCAAACAAGCAACGGCCCTTGTTACTAGAAATATGAAGCGTGCTAGTACGCACTTCCTGTTAACCAATTCACCAATTTGAAGATTGGTAAACAAAGATAATAGGAGCCGAAGTCAATCCCTTCAAACGCTCCTTCGGGGATGGTTGCTTCGTTCCCTTGTTTACCGAACTCTTTTCAGGAGATAGGTCTACCACTGCAAACTCATTTGCTTGTAAATCCATTAGAGGAGGCTGAGGCAGTTACCAGTACTGGACGACCGGCAGCGGCGACTGCCTCAGTCCGAGCGAGGACATGGTCTCTGGCTGCGCGTGGCTGGCTGGTGGCATTCCCCTGGTCCTCCGCTTACCGGCTGTGTGCGTGGTCTACGGCTGCTCGTGGCCAGTAGGAGGCGTTCTCGTTTGCCGACCGTGCGCGTGGTCCACGGCTGCCGGCACACGCATGGTCTACGGCTAATTATGTGTACTAGTTCTGAACATGGGCTAATTAGAGGATTTAATAGTGTGTATAATGCTTTTGGAACGTGACGAACTAACTAGTATGATACTGATCTTAGATATGGTAGTACAAGTTTTATAGATGTTTTCTATGACTTTTACATGCACAGATAACTTTAGGTAAGGACCAAAATATTGGAGTGCAACATCGGCGAAAATGCACTAGGGGCAAAATGGTCGTTTCATCTCACACTTAACACCGTTAGTTACTAAAATGGACGGAAGTGCCATATAGGGAACAAAATTTACATTGGGTGTCAAATAGTGAAGCAAATTTTAAGAAAGGGACAAATAAGGAATTCTCTCTTTCTTTTACCATGTACTCCGTCTATGCCAAAATATAGTGCATATTAGTATTATCCTAAGCCAAACATTATAATTTGACCAAGTTTTGTAGAAAAAATTGTTGACATCTACAATTCCATTAGATTCATCATGGAATTTATTTTGTTATCATAGATATTTGGTACTGTAAAAGTTCATATATTTTTCTATATAGTTGGTCAAACTACAAAGTTTAACCTAGGAAAAATCTTAATATGCACTATTTTGGCATGGAGGGAGTATAAAGCTCATTTGGTTCGACTGCTTAAAAGAGGTTAACTATGTACGCACCAATCTTTTTTGGACTTTACTGGCAGTACAAACTGTACTGTTTATGTTGTGGTACCTTGTGATGTGTTAGGTTCAATTATTAAAGTTGTTTTAATAGTTTAATAACAAATGTTTTATATTTTCTAGGTGGTACATATTTGAAGAATCAATCCTGTCTACCTGGACTGTCGCTCTGTACATTGAGTCACTGCATTTAGATATTGAGAAAGTCTGGTAAGATATGTTATTCTCTTCTGAGATCATATTATTGTCCATAAGATGTGGCTTCAATCCTTTCATTCGAGCCTTTCTTTTCTGGTTATCTCATGGAACTTATTTTTGTTACCATGGCAGGTGGAAGGATTTTATTGGTGTAATCCTGTTGGCAGTATTGATATTTATCCTTATGTTCCTGCTGTTGTTGTTGATGTTTCATACGTAAGCTTTTTCCTGGTCTTTTGATCTCTCTAACCATACAAGGCCTTCTAATTATTCAAAAGAGCGTCAAATGGTAGCATTTTTTATTTTATTTTCTTGAATTGTTAAGTTGAGAACATGTACTTAAATTTCCTTCGGGAAAAAGGAGGGGAGAAAATCATGGATTTGAGCTTTGTCGAAACATTACTGTCTAGCAAATGCATAGCAACAGGCCAATGGTTGAACATATAATTTTTTAAAGTTATTTCTGTTTAACTCCCAATACCACTTTGTCAATTTTCATTGAGTTATAAATTGAAGTACAGTAGCATATAATGCCTGTTGACCCAAAATGTCGCACTACGGGGTTAACCCAGTGAATAGAGGGTCAGAGGGCAAAAGCCGAAGCAAAGCGGTACACATGCCTGCCCTTCCAGCGCATGGCTGGAATTTGATTAATTTTAGGCCATTAATTGTTGGCAATGCTACAAAGGCATCATCTCCATGCAGCCCCTGCCCGAAAGGAGCAACTACATTTTGTCTTTAATGCATGCATGTTTGGCTGAATTCCCCCCTTCTATATTTTGCAGTTATATTGCTCTCACAAATCAAACAACCTATGAAGTGGCCAGAAGGAAGCGGATATTCTACTTAAGGTATGCAATACTGGAGGCGGTGACTCACGCTCCAGCTTGCTGTGATTCATCATTGCTGTATCATTAACTCGGTACTGAAACACCGGAGCTGTACTACTTGCAGGGGAATTCCTGATAGAGTTCATCCGTTCAGTAAAGGCATATGCAGAAACATCTATGACTTCTGCTTCACTAGAGAGAATGGATTTGTTCTCGAGGCCGTGCCCCCAATTGAGGAGCTGGAAGCCAGAGCAGCCCCGTACACATGCCGAGACCTGTTTTGCTGCCGATGCTGCTGATACATGCGTTGTACTGTACCATTCGTTACCCCCCAGCATGTGCTGCAACCCATCATTGAAACTTGCTCGCGAGTGGAAGCATGTCTTTCGGAGCTCCGCCAGTAGATGCCCTTTGAGTTCATTTCCATGTGAAGGTGCATGTACATTCTTAGCGACAAGAAAATGTGTGTGTGGTCCGTGGTATAGATGACTGTCCCTATGATATGAGCAACATTCGACTGAAAGAAGGTCCTGAGGACAGAAACTGTGCCAGGCGACTGCTTGCGCTTCTGTACAAAAATGTGCATTCGAGTTGTGGTTGTTTATGCCAGTGTTCAGTTTACTCTCTCTGTTTTTCTTTTTGGCTAAGTTCAGTTAAGCCATTTTATCTCTCGTGCACTTCCTCCGTTTCAAATAGTTTGAAGTTCTAGGTTTGTCCTGAGTCACACGTCTTTAAGTTTGACCAAAATCTAGGACAAAGCTAGGACTTCAAACATTTTGGAACCAGTTTTGGAACGAAGGGAGTATCAGATATCTTGTGGCCTCATTTGATATAACCTCCTATGACACCGAGTATCTTGTGAACTCATCTGATGTGACAAGGCCTCGTAAGCACTGACGAGTAACAGCGGATAATTTGCTGTTAAATATGCCAGGTTAAACCTACACCAGTACAGGGCACCGGCTGAGACCTCAGAGTGGTAGTTGTTGGCTGCAATTTGTGACCCGGCAAAAGTGACAGCAGTTGCCAACCGGACCAAAGTCCATTTGTTTGGTCATTTCTTCCTTGATGACTCCGTCTCTTTCGATAAAAGGGGAGATGATTAATGTGCTACTCCAGTTGGTTAGTTGCTGTAAAATATATACTCGCTGCGGCATGATGTGCCATTGTGTCATACCTAGTAAGTACTCCCTCCGTTTCCAAATATAAGTCTTTTCAGAGATTTCAACAAGTGACTACATACGGAACAAAATGAATGAATATATATTCTAAAATATGTCTATATACATCCATATGTTACGTATGTTGTAGTCCATTTGAAATGTCTAAAAAAACTTATATTTAGAAACGGAAGGAGTAGTAGTACAGCACGTTCCTGGCTGAGGTCAGATGAGCAAGGTTCCAAGGGAAAAGGAACCGATGAAGATAATGTAGGGTCAATTAACATGCAGCAGCCTACCCTTGCAGGGCTGCAGCTCTATTCTTTTCTGATCCGAGCATGTGAAGCTGCCATCAAAGAGTACTCTACATTTGTTTTTTACCTTTTAATCTTTTCTGCAGTTCCTATGATGATGAAAGCAGCGGTCTTCTTTTTCCTCCCTGTTGAGCCGCCGTTGCTTCAACTGACCCCCTTGCTCACTTCTCCGGAGGCGGTTGTTTTTTTCTTTCTCTTTTGCATTTTCTCGCGACCAGCAGACCAGGTTACACCCAGACCCAGTGCAGGTGCGCGTCGTTGTCCACACCTAAACTAACTCCCCATCACTATCAAGCTGCTTTCTTGAGCAGACATGGCAATCTACGTACGTGGTCCGCAGTCTCGCCGAGAGTGACGGCATCCATTCAACTGTCAGCGAGAATATTACAGGAATCAACGTGATAGTATCATACAACTATATTTGATACTACTAGTAGTTTACTCACGAGTGTTTCAGCTCAACTAACCTCTAGAGTAACATAACATAATCCGGAGGTGACGTCCTAGCAGACCTTTAATTCTGCATCCACATGAAGCAGAATAGAGCAGAGCAGAGCAGCCAGACACCCCTGATATTTTTAACACTAAGCGACGCATTTATGTCACGCACATACTAAACAACAGAGCCGATTTGTCTAATTGGCGTGCTTTGCTCACCGTTCCTGATCAAATCCGCGACTTTTTCTCGTCGATGATGTCGATCCCTGCCTTGCCGTGCGGCAAGAGTCAGCAGATCCGCCAACAAAGTCATCGTGGCACCAAACTCCCACGGCCAAATTGACTCCATCTTGGCTCAAAATCATATATCTGCACACAACTACTTTAATGCGCCACGAGTATATGTTTTCTGCCCGGCATATTTAATCTCAAGTCATCAACACCGCTCGTTTTGAAAATGGGCCAGCAGGTCGCGTGTAGAGACACTGTTGTCCGCCTAAAATCCAAAAGTATTCCGAGACCTTCCACGCACAGTTCACACGAGCGCTGGTCTGTCTCTTACTGAAATCCGTGGAACAATTCGACGCCTATGGTTGTCTGCCTGATCCATTCCAAGATGACGCCAATGCGTGAGGCCTTATTCAAAGCCGTCCGTCGAATCGGGGTCACTGTCCGGCGATACGGATACGGAGCCGGCCATTCGGCTATATGCATCAAACATGGGGACACATTTTGAACGAAATTTGAACGAGCGGATGATTTTTATTTAAATCAAACCAAATTCACGACATTTTGAACGCAAGAAATTAAGATCACAATTTGAGAGGAGCTCTGGCAGGTCGAGAATCCGCTAGCTAGCTCTCGCTCCCCGCTTCTGCGCCGCCAGCCACTCCGGCCTCGGCGCCCACCCCACCCTGCCGCCGGCCACCGCTCCAGTGCCGGCGCCCACCCCTCGGCCATGGCCACCCCTTCCCCCTCTGCTTCCGGCCATGCACGCGCAGTACTGGCTGGATTCCAGCCCTTCCTCCGCAGGATCTGCGTCTCGTTCCTATCGTCTGGCGCTCCGCGCCTCCCCTGCCGCTCCGGTGCCCCCACCAGCCGCCCTGGCCCCCTCGCCGGACGCGGACCCGGCCCGACCGTCGTGGGACGCCTCCGCTCCGACATCCATCGGGTCCGCCCCGACGAGGCCGCCCCTGACGGCGGGGGCTGGACGGTCGCCACTGGTCATCGACGCCCGCGTCCCCGTCTGTAACACCCCAGATGTAATTTACCTTATATGTACTCCAACCCTTGCCATTTCCGGCGCTAAGTTATTTTATCTCCTCGGGTTCGGGTTTTTGTCTCCGTGTGTTGTTGTCGTTGTCATGCATCTCATATTATGTCATCATGTGCATTGCATTTGCATAAATGTTCGTCTTATGAATCCGAGCATTTTTCCTGTTGTCCGTTTTGCATTCCGGCGCTCCTATCTCCTCCGGTGGTCCTTGCTACCTCTTTTCATGTGTGGGGGTTAAACATTTCCGGATTGGACCGAGACTTGCCATGCGGCCTTGGTTTACTATCGGTAGACCGCCTGTCAAGTTTCGTGTCATTTGGACTTCGTTTGATACTCCAACGGTTAACCGAGGGACCGAGAAGGCCTCGTATGTGTTGCAGCCCAACACCCTTCCAATTTGGCCCAAAACCCACCAAACCTCTCTCCATCATCTAGAGCGTTCGATCACGATCGCGTGGCCGCAAACCGCACCTCATTTGGACTCTCCTGGCTCCCTCTATGCCTATATATAGCTCCTTCCCGAAATTTTCGGATCTTCTCCCCCAAACCCTAGCTCCCCTTCCTCTCCGCGCGCCGGACAACGTCCAGGCCGCGCCGGACAGAGTCGCCGCCGCCGCCCGCAGCCAGTGGTGTGCCGCCACGTGGCCACCACCATCCCGCACCCACCGTGGCCCG